GAAGTTCTTCTTTATCTTTAATTCCATAAATTTCTTTGTAATTCCTTTTATTCTAAATCAAAAAACTTACACAATTGTGAATTTGCATAATTTTCTTGGTCCAATAGTAATGTATTTAACATATACGATATGATTCGTTTATTTAAACAATATTTAACTCTGTCAGGAAAGTACAAGTGATTTTTTTACGTATCCTCGCACCTAACAAGTAATATTGTATCTGAATAAAATATTGTCTATGCATCTCTGTGATAGTGTCTTGTGTCTCTTGTGTCACTTGTATGTTTATGTGTGTCCTGTGTGTTCCATGTTCCCGTTTCAAGTATTTCATAATACTGCTACGAAAAATTTTTGCAATATCAAAAAGGAACTCTTGATTGATTTTCGATTACTTCATGAGAAAATGTCAACGGTCCTCAAAAGTAACAAAAATGTTTTTTTCCCAAAAGACAGAAATGTATTTTTGTTCCTACCTTATTTTTACACGCTTGGATATGTCACAAAGGAAAATTATAACACCGTGATACAATGAATGCGATGCGCACTACAGGATTACACTGATGGTCACAAGAGAGTTAAAAATTTATGTTTTTATATATTTGTGTTAGTAACTTTAAACCAGACTTAATTATAGTTAGTGTTGTGTCAACATTTTGTAGGATATTGTACAAGGTGTCTCAGCTAACTTGATCAACTCAAATAATGACTTAACGGTATACTTTATGAACATTTTGAGGTGCGAAACTTAGCTGGCATCAAGGGGTACGTCTTATAAGGTACAGGCTTTTTTGTGGGTGGAGGCATTTCATAGATTTCAAGGTCATCCTGTTTTTTTTCAACGGAATGACCTATTTTCTCTAACATAGATCGATTCAGTATCAAATTCTGAGTAAAAATGTGTTGATCTTCATACATCCTAAACCTAATAGTTAACGAGATATTTACGAAATACTTTTTAATACGTACTTACTATCTGGAAGCTATAGGTGCTCTAACTGATGCCCCTCAATTTCAATACTGTGATTATTTTGTAAATATTTCGTTAACTCTATCGATTTATGGTACAAAAATAGGTCACTCGGTTAAAAAAATCAAGGTGACCTTGAAATCCCTGAAATGCATCCACCCACAAAAAAAGCACGTATCTTTTAAGATGTGCCCCTTGATGCCATTCAAGTTCCACGCCTCAAAATTTTCATAAAATATACCGTTAAATCATTATTTGAGGTGATCAAGTTAACTAAGACACCCTGTAGTATGCTGCATCATACTATACTATATTATATCTTCATCAAGCATTTCGCCCATAAAGGAGTATTTAAAATCATAGATATTATAGTTATAGTAGATCACGCTATAATTATAATTTTACACAATTATAAAGTATTCAATGTACACCATAATTTAGTATACGGATATTTATAGAACACATTATTACAGTATACTATAACTTATTATAATGTACTATACTGACATTTAGTATAATACTTGTATTTATTAGTCAAATACTTGAACAAAATTTTCATTTTTTTCTTGAATCGAACATTACAGAACAATAAGTATGTCGAAATAGAAATAATAAGAAATTGTAATTAAAGTTATTTTTTCGTAATACTTTGTTGGTTAATATTCTTATCAAAGAAAAAAAAATACTTATTTATTTTTGTATTTTCTTAATCCAAATGCATTATCTAAATGAATTCTTTTTATTAGAAAATTAGATTTAACCTTTAGTTGTACCATTACAGTATGTATTTTTTCCTTGTCAAATCTTATTAAACTTTCTTCTGACCACCACTGTAGGTGTAAATCAATTAATAACCTCATGAAGGTATTGTAAGACCAATTTATACATATGATATTTTAAAACCAAAATTTTAGCAGGGGCAAATTTACATATTTACAAGTATTACACATTGGTAAAATATTAGAAATGTATCTTTTACCTTCATAAGAAACATAAATCATGGATCTACGTTAGGGCTGTTCACAAATTTTGATAATTATGAACAACAGGAGTATATGTATACAACATGCCATTCTTTTCAAATATATTCATTTAAGTACATTTCAAACATATATAGGAAAAAGTCCATTGCAGATATAAAAAATATTATAAAATTTCACATGTTTGAAAAACCCCAACGTAAATAAAGAAATATTTTACACGAATTTTATTTGGAATGTCTAAAATGTGCTCGCCAAGCGTTTTATATGGGTAGAGAATTTTTTTATAAAACTGGTATTAGTCCATATCCTCGAATATTAAAGTTGCATATCAATGTATGAAATATTTAATTATTACTATGCACATTCGATAACTTTCTTAAAGAGTACAAATAGACGACTATAAAATGCTTTTTCATTTTAATATTATTTCAATAATAATAATAATAATAATAATAATAATAATAATAATAATAATAATAATAACGCTACTGTTTTGTAAATATTAATATAAGAATAGTACAATACTACTAATTTGTAAATCGTAGTATTAAATATAACCAAAAAATATCTATCCTTAATATTTCCTGTACTTTTCCCTTCGTGTTTATTGCAACATGTGATGATAATATACCAATGATCAGTTATTTCTTTATCTAACTCTTTCTCATCATCTTCCGTACATAATCATTTACTCTTTGTTTGCATTCCGTCAAAAAATTGGCAGCATTTGGACACTATGAAATCTTCGCTTGCATTTTTGTTCATTTTTTTTTTTAAGAAAAAGGACTGATTTAAAATTTCTATGGCGTACCAGACTGCCACATATTATATATTCTTTAACATTCGTACGTTATTTCTTTTATTACAGCATTCTCTCTCACACATTCACTCTTCCATGCTTTTATAGAATCTTGTTATCTAGCATTCCATTATAGGAATCCGCGCAATTTACCTTATGTTGAAGGTATGCAATACAAAGAGTCGCAAGACATCCCTACGTCTTTATTATATTATCAAATATTAGCATCTAGTGTTTCAATATAATATATATATGTATATCAATAAAGGCCACGAGTGTGTTCAATATAAAATTACTAGTTGAAATTCGCTCGGACTAATTCGTTCGTACGTCGTGCTTAAGATTCTCTATACTTTTTTATACATTTATTTATTCAATATGCAAGATGCCCCACAAAATTGAAACAATATTTGACAAAAAAACAGTGACTTTAAATTTCCTCAATTTTTATATACTATTATGCACTAGGATGTATTAATACAGAACGTATAACAATCTTTTTATTTTCCGAATCGTCTTTACAACTTATTTCAATTACGTGAGACATTTTTACGTACAGAGGAAGTAAAAAACCGACATCACAAAATTTAGTGACACATTCTACACTTTAAAACAGATAAAAAGTACTGGTAAACATACATTTCCGAATTATTATAAGCTTTATAGTAAATATTCGATATGTCCGCGGTTCAGTGTGATTTATTGGAATACTGTAGAATGATTGTATTGAATATATTGTAATTATGCAAAATATACTATAAGTATGTATCATGTACTATAAACATAAATGAGTTTGGTATTTTAAGTATAATACAGTGATTAGAAGTACCTAAATCTCCAAACCAAATAGGTATAGATAACATTTTTATAAGACTGTTTATCAGTTTTCAGGCGCCGAATACACTAGTATATTTTGTGATGCTATTACTGAGACACTCTGTACAAGAAATGGTCGCTTCTACATTTTAGGCCAATGGACGTGGTTATTACTTGGAACTCGCTAAAAAGTAAATGCTGAACGCTCCACGTCGCTTGAAAATATTAAATCTTCTATTGCTTCTATCTTCAATACTGTAAATGGTAAAACAACGAATCAGAAATAAAGTGGCAAATACGTGTAAGCGACCGGTATTGACAAAAAATAGTCCTCTGATGACACAATATAACAATACGAAGACATTTTTGGAGTAAATCCTTATCCAGGACGGAGAATACGTGACGACGTGATAAGGATCGCGATAAAAAAGTAATCAGTGGCGTTACGCTCAGTGACCGACAGTAATACTTTGACAGAGAAAAACACTGGCGCGCCAATGTTCAAAAGTTCATGGAAAAATAAGATAATATTCACAAATCACGGTAACACATTTTCTTGTTATTTTAGCAGAAAAAAAGGGAAGAGAGAAAAAGAACAACATTAGCTAACAGCATAGCTAAAAATAACGAAGTTATTATTACGAATCAACTTTAAATATTTTGCAGCTAAAACAGCAAGAAAACTTGATGAAAAAATATATAAACATTCATCTTCGCGAAAAACTGCTTAATTATGTGGAAGCAAACATAGAAGACGATGCAAGTAGCTCGTTGCATTCCTTGCCAATTATGAGAGCATTTCTCACTTACGCTGTATCTTGAAAAATAGTATAAGTTCGTAACTTTACATTGTTGTAAATTGGATGTGGCTTACACTTCAAAGCATCTCAAAAAGAAAAACATTATAAAACAATACATTCCTGACAATCATTTTAAAAATAGTCCCTTGTATCAATCGGAGTTTAGAGAATCTGCGTGTTTCTCATGTACATGGTATAATAATTATACTGAGTTCCTTAAAGTTTGAACAGAATTTTTCAAGGTACGCATATAGGCAGACGGGTGTATAATTTACATGTTCTCAAACTGATCGACACGACACTTAGTATTGCC